CCCCTTGTGGCCTGACTGGCATTGAATTAGGAGGTTAAATTTCCATCAGTGGGGAATTTGCGCGTGGGCGCCACTCTGCTGATAATGGCCCTTCCTGAACGAGAGGACAAGTGGTTTTTGTTTTGTTTTTTAAGAAGTAAACTAGCTTTAATGGCTGTAGGGAGGTCTACTGCTTTGATGCTTTAGGCTTTCCACTTGGGCCAAACAGAAGAAATGTGTTAAAAGTTGGTGTTTCATTTCTCTCTTGGTTTTGGGTTATGTTTGTCCTGTTCAAAGCTCAGCAGTGATTTTTAGTTAGTATAAGACAAGTGTATTCAATTAAAATAGGTTTATTCTGAAAAAATATATTCTAGCTTCAAATTATCAATATAAAAATAAGAATGGTATCTCTATGGTACATAATTTTATCCTCCTCTCTTGCTTTAGGTCTTAGGGATATGATGTTGTAGAGTTATTCCAGTAGTGTTGACCAGCACGCAAAAGTGCTTTGTTTTTGCTATGCCTCTCTGATAGTCTTTACAGGTGATTTCTTTTCCTGAATATGGGTTGCTTAAGGGATTGCCTTTTTTTTTTTTGTTTTTTTTGTTTTTGAGACAGGGTTTCTCTGTGTAGCCCTGGCTGTCCTGGAACTCACTCTGTAGACCAGGCTAGCCTCAAACTCTCGAACTCAGAGATCCGCCTGCCTCTGCCTCCCAAGTGCTGGGATTAAAGGTGTGCGCTACCACTGCCCGGCAGGGATTGACTTTTAAAGTACACATTTTCCCCCCCTTTGGTACATATCTGTAGAAGTGAGAGATTTAGCTGGATATGATGAGGGTGGGGGGCTAGGAGTTGAAAGCTGATAATATGTCACATCAGGTAACAGTTACTAGTGTCACTAGATTTATGTTTTGGGAACTGGTTTTTATCACTAGTAGCTCTGTGGTTTGGACAGTGACTAAACTTCACTCACTTGACTCTGAATTGTCATCTGTAACTTGATATATGGATTGAAATGGTCTTTGATAAGCTATTTCTAAAAGTTCACAATTCTAAAGTGTGACATAGGAAAACACTGACTTTCTGAGCCTCCCTACTTCTGTTCACATAGGATGTTAATTATGTGAATTATTATTTTTATTTTATGTGTATAGTTGTTTCATCTACATGTATGGCTGTTTACTTTGTACCCTCCTGTTGCCAGCAGAGGCCAGAAAAGGCCATTGAAATCCCTGGAGCTGGGGTAACGGAGTTTCATGTTCAGTAGGGGTGCTGAGAATCAAATCCAAGTCCTCTGAAGAGCAACCAGTGCTCTTCACCACCAAGCCATCCCTCCAACCCCAAGTTGTTTGTTCTTAAAAGAAAAACAAAATACTACAAGAAGAGCAACCTGTCCAAGTGAAAGAGACCCAGGTAGTGCTGGAGATGACCTGGATTAGAGAGTGTACTTTACTGCAGCCTGATAGGTATGCATTTGTGGAGTGGGTGGCAGTTGTCAGGAAGGGTAGTAACAGCTAAGAGACAGTGTCAATAAGCATGTGGAGTTTGTGTGACTAAACATGTGATTTTCTCATAAATTTTTTGAGAACTGGTATGAATCCAGAATCAGAATCCCTGGGTCCAGCTGCCTTGCTATTGCCTGGGTATCATTTAGATATGACAAGTGCCTCTGAATATATGTGTCAGCTATCAGAAAACAGAATAAAAACCTTAAAGAGTATTTCATTAAAAATATTTGAGGGTTTAATCCCAGCACTTGTGAGGCAGAGGCAGAGGCAGGTGGATTTCTGAGTTTGAGGCCAGCCTGGTCTACAGAGTGAGTTCCAGGACAGCCAGGACTACACAGAGAAACCCTGTCTCGAAAAACCAAAAAAAAAAAAAGAAGAAAAAAGAAAAAAATTGAGGGTTAGAGTCATATATATAGCTTAGTTTGGCTTAGAATTCACTAGATAGCTGAACCTGGTCTTGAACTTGGGAGTTTTCCCACATCACTCTTTCAAGTATTGAGATTACAAGTGTATTCTATTATAATTTGAAACTTATGATCTGTCAAAGTGTTTCACAAATATAACTACAAAATTATTTAGTGGACTCATAGCTATACACATATAAATTATATTTGTTCATATATACCATTATTGTATCAATGGAGCAAATCAGAAAATGGTAAATATTTGAAACCAATAAATAGTTTAAAGCCTGTTTTAAGTATGGATACTTAAAACATTAAATAAAAATGCCAACATCAAGGATCTGCACTGAAATGTAGTCTTGTCCTCTAGTCTCCTGCAGTCCTTAAAGATTCCACTTCTCTCACTCACCTGAGTCACGTGGTTGCTCTTGTATGGGTTCCTGTGCTAGTGATGACACTGACAGGTTCTGTGGCTCCTCTTTGTTTGTATTCCCAGCCATTAAATCAGTGTCTGGAAGATGATAGACCAGGTTGGCAAATTTTGAATAAATGACTAATAATCAAGTTGGAGGTAGGGTGGAAGTGTCTAAAAGACCAGCTAATAACAATGGCTAGTGCCTTACATAGAGTCTAAAGGAGGTTTAGAGATGGTAGGAAAAGATTAATGCAGAACTAAAAAGAAGAAAGTGATGAAAATCTTTGAGCTGAAGTATCTAATTTGTTGTTTTGCTTGTTTGAGATAGGGTCTCAATATATAGCCTTGGCTAATCTGCTACTCCCTGTGTAATTTAGGGTGACATTGAGCTCAAAATATTCCTTCTGACTCAGCCTTCTGAGTGCTGAGATTACAAATACACACCACTGTGCCTGTCCCTGAAGTGTCTACTTTTATAAAAGGAAAACTTTGTCTAATGGAAGCTAAAAGTTATTAGCTGTATATGGAAGGAAATTAATTTACCAAAAGAGATTTATGAAATAGATTGGTTTTGTATGGATAGCTAACACAGATAGTACAGTAGTTTGATTTTTCCTTCTTTTTGATTTTTCCATTTACTAGATATTAAATAATTAACAAATGACCAATAATTAGGAACTGAATAGTTGGCAGAGGGATGAGAGTTACTAAAGGTTAGCAAATTGGCCTTTGATAGGTCAGTGTTTTACAATTAGTGTAGACTATTAATTTATTATTGTTTTGTTAGTAGTCTGTATATGAAATTAAGCAATCAATTTTTATGTTTTTTGGTTTTTTTTTTGTTTTTTGTTTTTGTTTTTTTTTTTTTTTTTGGAGACAGGGTTTCTCTGTATAGCCCGGGCTGTCCTGGAACTCACTCTGTAGACCAGGCTGGCCTCGAACTCAGAAATCCGCCTGCCTCTGCCTCCCAAGTGCTGGGATCAAAGGCGTGCGCCACCACCGCCCAGCAAGCAATCAATTTTTAAAGGACTCAAGTAGAAGTTTTGTATTTGTAGGATATCTTAAAAGTTGACTTTATTAAAAACCCAATCCTGGCTGAGTGTGGTAGCACATGCCTTTAATTCTAGAACTCAGGAGGCGGGGGCAGGCAGATCTCTCTAAGGCCAGCCTGGTCTACATAGTGAATTCTAGGAGAGCCAAGGCTACATAGAGAAACCCTAACTCAGAAGACAAAGCTAAAGTTAACAACAAAAGCCCAAGAAACCCCAATCTTGGGCCGTTCTCAGCCCAGCCCTAACTGAAAGGAAAAGAAAAAAGTATGTAAAGTATGCATTAATCTGAAACAGACAAAGAAACAATGTTGCTTTAGGCATAGTAGTACAGGCCTATAATCCCAGCTACTTGGGAAGCTGAGACAGGAGGATTGCAAGGTCAGTGTCTATTTGGGTTACAGAATGATGAGTTCAAGGTTAGCTTGAGCTACATAGTGAGACCTGTCTTTAAAAAACAGACAAACAACAACAAATCCCCAAACAAATGTCTTACTTGGTAGATTGCTTACCTAGCATGCATGAAGACCTGTGTTGAATTCCCAGCCCTGCAAAAAACAGGTATGGTGGTAAGTCTCTATCCCCAATACTTGCGACATAGAAAAAGACCACTAGTTCAAGGTCATTGACAACACAGAAAATTCAAGGACTGCTTGGGCTATATACAACCTTTTCTCAAAACACAAAACACCTCCCTCCCAACACAAACATACACAAAGCAAACAAAAAAGAAACATGGAAAAAAAAAACCAAGTAAAGAATTGTAGGCCTGGAGAGGTTGATTTGGGAGGAGTGAATCTGGAAGAAATGATAGTAGCTATGTTGAGTCCTGGTGGAGTTAAGAGTATTGTGACAAGGATTTGGGCACAAAATAGGCAGTTTACATTTCTCAAGGATATCAGGTATTACTCTAAAGATTATAAATATTTATAATCGAAACAAGAGTTATGAACTGTGTATTTTCCATTTTATATGTGAAAAAAATGTGGCACAAAATAGTTGTATTTCCAGGATTACACAGTCCTAAAATGTTAGATCCTGAGTTGTAACAATAAGTGTCTGAACCCAGAGTTAATTCTTTATTCGAGTGTGGAGTTGAAAGGCTCTGAGCAGTGAGGGTGGGCTCCTGTATGATTGGCCATGTTCTTCCATCCTCTCCAGATGAGGTGTGCTATTAGAGTAGGTACAGTTTCTGTTGTGGTGGACTGACTTGTAAATAGTACGGTTAGTGACTTAGTACTGTGTGATGTTGAGGGAATCCCCTAAGCCTCTGTGAGCTTGTCATTATCATGTGTAACTTGAGGTTAGTGATATAAACCTCTTAGAGTTGTTTGAAATTTTAAGTGAATTAATTTCTAAAGCTTTAGTCTACTTTGTTTCCGTTTAATGTTACATGGGTTCCTTAAGAGTGGAAGTTGGCCATATTCTCTTTCTGTCTGAACGTTTACATTTTTGTATGTTAGAAGGACCTGTATTAACCAAAGACAGCCTGCCAAAACAGTCATTCATCTCCCCTCCCACCTTAGGAAGGATTGTGTGCCCCTGCCCTCCTCTCTCTGTCTGCATTCCTTGGAGTTGGCATCATAAGCATGGAGGAGTCTCTGACCTTTGAAAATTCTTGAATCTTAAATGTGTTTTTTTTCAGTGAGGTTTGAGAGACGTTGAAGAGGACGCAGAGGCTGCTCTGGTGCATTGGTGGGGCCAGAGAGTGTGCAGAGTGAGGACATGGAGGCTTAGGAGGATGGTGTCGAGGAGAGAACGTAGGGTCAGTAGTTTCTCAAGCATTTTGACAGAGATCTATTATCTTCCACCACTATTTAATTTTAGGTTCTTTTCTCTGTTATTAAGTTGTTGGGGACTTAGTATGTACTAATGGGCTTTAATGCAGTGTTAGCCTGAGTTAAAGCAATCATTAGGGAAGAGAAGCTATTTCAAATAAAATAATTTAAGTCTTTAGCAAAATGTCTTTAAGATAAGCCATTGTAAATTTGCCTATGTGATATACTGGTGTGTGTGTGTGTGTGTGTGCGTGCGCGTGCATATGTGTTGTGTTTATCTATCTGTAGTTAGGTACTATGCAAATATACAAATATATTTCAGTTTATTGGAATGAAAATTGTGTACCTGGTAGTGACTGTGACTGGGACACAGGAGAGTTAAGATAGGTTTTGCCCTTATATTGCTACTGTTTGATGGAGACACAAACATGTAAATTAACAAAATCTGTGTGCTTTGGGAAAATAGTGGTAGATGTGGAGGGCAAAGCTCTATTGTGAACACCAAGGGGAAAGTAGAGTCCAGAGAACACTTTGCAAGTGAGGTGGCACTCAGGTGGGTCTTCAGGAAGAGGAAAGAGCCCAGCAGTCCTTTCAGGCAGGGAACAGTCTACACAGCAACTGACATCTGAAATACACTTGCTGGAGCTGTTAAGAGGGAGAGCCCAGTCACGAAGGGCTTTTGTGTGATATACAGAATTTAGGTGTTGAACTTTGCTCATTGGAGACTTTGAGGAGTTTTGAGCACTGGGATATATTATCATATTTATATTAAATAATTGTTTATACTAGGTGTTTATAGAGATTGATCAGTGTTTGTGAAAGGAAAAAGGAAGTTTTTTCTGGGTCCCAGTTTTCAAAAGAGACATCAAGACTTGTTAAAGGCATTGGCTGGAGTTACGAGACTGCAAAGGTAACTTTGAAAAGCTGTGTGAGAGCATAAGGCAGAAGAGGAAGGTGCAGCCTGCCTGCCTCCCCGCCTTGCAGCCCCAGTGCTTGCTTGGAGTGATGCTCCATTTGCTAGACTAGAAAACACTGTGATAGCTGGAAAGGATGAAGGACAGAGAGGAGAGAAGAATTTGTTTTTAATCTGTCTAGGTTGACGTGTCTGGGGCTTCTCGCACAAGGCAGAAAGAATTTGAAACTCTGGATACCTTTAAAATCATCAGCATTTGTGTGGCCAGTGTTGAGAATGAAGTTTCTCAAGGAGATGCTACAGAGTAAGAAATGGAGGGCTTATGGCGAGAACTGTGAGCTTAACCTTAGTGCAGGAACAGGCAGAGTCCACGAGGTGACCTAGGAGGCTACAAGGAGAGCTGAGGATTGTGATGGTACCTGTGATGCCACTGTCCTCCTGTAGAAGCCCATTTGAGTAGGATGAACTAAACATGGTTTAAGAAAGTAGCATCAGGGGATTAGTATATTTAAGAAGAAGGTAGTAACATCTTATTCACTATTCTATTGCTGATGACACCATAGTCAAGGCAGTTTCTATAAAACAAAACATTAAAGTGGGACTTGCTTGCAGGTTTAATCCATTATCATGGTAGGGAGCATGGTGCACTTAGGCAGATGCTAGAGCGGTAGTGAAGAGCTCCAGACTGCTCCATAGGCAGACAGAGGAACAGAGGGACAATCCAGGCTTGCCATGGGCTTTGAAACCTCAGCACCTATACACACACACACACACACACACACACACACACACACCCCTTTCCCCCAGGAACACACTTCCCCCAATCTTTGTAATCTTTTCAAATAGTACCATTCCCATAGTACCAGTCTACACGGCAACTGACTAAGCATTCAAATACATGAGCCTGTGGGGCTCATTCTTATTCAAATCACCACAAATGTGAAAGAAGGGCAGGGGAGAAAATCTAAAGGAGGTCCTTTTGCCTTGCTTTATGATTTTGTTTCTTTGCAGCAAGAGCAAGATCCTTTGCTAAGAGTGAGTGAGACAGCTTCTTGGCTAGAAGGCTCAGGAAAAATGGTGAAGGTGTGAAATGGTCCTGAGACAACTGCGTGGTGTAACAGAGTCAACTAGAAGACAATGGTGTTTTGATGAAAGAAAACTAAATACACTTTATTTGGCATATTAATCTACAGAATTACTTGATCTTATTTTGTTCAGTAACTCCATCTAGTGGTAGAGAAATTGAGTGGCGGAGTCATCCAAGTTGGGTAGCAAAAGCAGAATGATACAGAAACTAGGGTTTACCAACCGAAGAGCATACATGGAGAGACCCATGGCTCCAGATATGTATGTAGCAGAGGATGGCCTTATCTGGCACCAGTGGGAGGGGAGGCTCTTGGTCCTGTGGAGGCTTAATGCCCCAGTGTAGGGAGGATCCTAGGGCGGTGAGGCGGGAGTGGGTGGGAGGGTGGAGGAAAAGAGGAGGGGGATAGGATGGGGGCATTGTGGGAGGGGGATATTAATTGAAATGTAGATGAATAAAATGATTAATTTAAAAAAAGAGTATAAAACTGCAAAGTGATATTTAAGCCACACAATTTGTTGAACTTTGTTTTCACAGTGGTAAGAGATCTATAAAAATGCCTAACAAATTACTTTTAGGTCTTTAAATTTTTGTAAATTCATTAAACTAAAATAAACATTTACATAAATCTTTTATCTAGTACACATTTCTTCTGCACATTTCAAATTAAAAAGCTATGTGGACCAATTTTTAAAAAAAAGAAGGAAGGGAGGGAGGGAAGGAGGGAGGAAGGAAGGAAGGAAGAAAGGAAGAAAGAAAGAAAGAAAGACAGACAGGCAGACAGGCAGACAGACATATTAGGATTTAAGCAGTAGAGGTGGCTTAGTAGTTAAGAGCATTCGCTACTCTTGCAGAAGACCCGAGTGTTTGGTTCCCAGCACCACATGGCAGCTCACAACCATCTATAAGCCTAGGTTCAAGGCATCCAATGTCCTTTTCTGGTCTCTGAGCACCCAACATGCATGTAGTACACATACATACATGTAGGTAAAACGCTCATGCATAAAATGAAAATAAGTTTAAAAAAAGAAACTAGGTTTTTGCAGATTATTTAAATAACCAGTCATTGGTTTCCCTTTCAGTTCTGCAAGAGGGGACAAGAAGAGAATCTATTCAGCTTTCCTCCTCTCTGCTGTCACCCTAATCAAGTTCATCACATCTGTCTCCTTAGCAATAATTTTCCTGCTGGTTCAGATTCTTCCCACCAGAATCAGTATGGTTGTAATGATAGCAACAGCTTTAAAACCTTTTCATTCTGATATGTTAATAATTCATTTCTGATTCTTTTCCACCCGTGCTCACAACAGTGCTTATCATTACGTTTTGGATAAAACCTCAAACTTTACCAGGGTCTACTAGGTCCTGTCTCTATTTTCTACAGCTCTCACCAAGTTCAGAGCGTTGATAAACGCTTCATCAGCTTGGAGCCATCTTAATCCCAGGCTGTCTCTCCAATTGCTCACTGTCCAGTCCTTAGTTAAATACCACGTCCCTGTGGCTTCTTCTCCCTCCTTACGGAAGACAACAGTCTCGGCTGTTATTGTGAGATTTTTTAATTATTTCCCTTTTACTGTAGATATTTTATAAGCATGGGAATTGTGTCTGGTTCATTGTTCATGTTTCATCTTGAGCCTAGTGCCCAATGTTCCATTGGCAGTTGGTAGACTTTTTATTGTCCCAAGCACAATGTGGTTAAGAGAGTAGATGTCATAGGACTAAGAAACTAGCCAGCTTGAGTTACAGAGGAAGCTCTGGGCCACTGAAAGCTTTGTAGAGGCGCTGTCTTTACGGAAAAAAAAAAAAATTGTAAAGTAAAATGCTAGAATTTCAGACTCCAGAGGAAATGGTTTTAGGAAATGACAGGGTCAGCATCAGAATTATCTCAATAGAGATAAAGGTTTTTAGATATTATGAAACTCTAAGGTAGATGGATTACAGATGAGCACTAAAATTTCTCAGGAAAATGGTAGGACTTGAAGTGAGGAAGCAGGAGCCTTCCACCAGAGATGGCTCCCTTTCTGTGCCACACCTTCCTCCCTTTGGAAACAGCTGGAGGCTAGCAGGAGACTAGCATGCATTCAGACTCTCTGTGTTCAGATGAGCTATTCACCTGACTTTTTGTTTTCATTGTTGAGCAAATAAGATAGAATGGGAATGTTGCTAGGAATCAAGCCCAGCACTGTTTGTGTGCTGCCGAGTGCACTGCTGTTGAGTTGTTGTAGAAAGATTAGGGAATACTAACGCGTTCCTTTTAGTTCTTGGTTTCTGTCTTCAGCAAAGCATGGAAGTGGAAGCAGGGGCAAGAGGCAGAATTGAATTTTGACCAAGATACTCTGTTTATGCAGCATGTTGAGTTTATAGTTATGGTCAGCACCAACATTTATAAACGAATATAGGTACAGGTAAATACAGATCCAGGGAAAGAGTTTATAAAACCTCCTGGCTCATAATAATGATGTTGGGCTGCAACAAGTAATTATGTAAAGTAATAATTTAATTTCCATTGAGAAGTCCATCCTTCTCAGGAGTCAGTTTTGTTGTTCAGTAGAACTATATAAGAACCATTATGTGAACATTATTAGGGGGAGGAGTGTAGTGATAGCGTTGGCTTTTATTTAGAAAAAAAACCAATTTATTACAATTGGATCTGAAACTAATGAGCTCCCTGTCAGGGCCTGTATTCACTTGGGAACTGGACAGTCTCTTGGAGATGTAATAGAAGAGTTCTTTGGTGGGGTCAGACATGGCACTGAGTAATTGGTGACAGTCCTTCTACTAGGAAAACTGGATGCTTTTGACTGACTCCATCTATAAACCACACAGTCAACAAATATTTGAGTGCTGCTTCCCTTTTATTTGAAAAGCTGAAGATTATGTTTGGTTTTTTGTTTCGGGTTTCCCTTCCTGTGTGTTGAGACAGAGCTGGCTGAGTCTTCGTAGTTGGCTTCAGTATCCTCACTTGGAATTTGAGAAGCGTCAGCCAGGTGTTGTGATGTTGTAACAAGAGCTGCTGTCCTTACCTGTTGGGCGAAGGGCACAGTCTACACCATGTATTAGAGAATCCAGTATAAGAATGAGCTGCCAAGAAGTTTGCTTTAGTGCTTCACATTTTTGCTGAAGAGCCAGTCTTTCCAGATAGGAGTTATTTGTTTATTTTAGATGTTTGGAATTGAATGACCTACCTTCTGTTACCATGTAAGATCCCAGATGCCACGACACCGACGGTTTTCATTTGCTTCTCCCTCAGGAGCCTGTATCTGGCTGGAAATTGTTTGCATGCCTGTGGCTCAGTCAAGTCTCCTGCATTCCACTGAGTGCTTTGTGTGCTGTTGCATCTTTCCCATGTCCCAGAAAGCTGTTACAGTAGCTTACAGTGGTTTGTCTGTCTGTCAGTTTGTTTGAGACAGTCTCTCATAGCTCTAGCTGCCCTCGAACTCATTACATAGGCCAAGCTGTCCTTGAACTCATGGGGAACTGCCTACCTCTGCTTTCAGAATTCTGGGGTTAAAGGCCTGAGCCACCACACATATCTGCCTTGCCTTATTTCTTAAGAGCAAAGATTGAAGTTCATTTTGGAGTTAGGCCCTTAATTTTGGACTATTTATGTGTTTGTTACTTGGACAGTGAGCATGTCCTGTGACAAAGTGGTGAATACAATGGACTTTGGAGAGAATTCTCATTTGAATTAGGAGACGGAAAGCCTTTCATTCACCTGTGAATTCTGAAAGCATTTAATCTTTTTTTTTTTTTTTTTTTTTTTTTGAGACAGGGTCTTTCTTTGTAGCTTTGAATTCTCAATCCTCCTGTTTCTGCCTCTTGGGTGCTGACATTAGAAATGTGTACCACTTGCCTGCCTTGAAATTCAATTCTTAAGCACAAGCTGCAAGGGGCCTGGGTCATTCTATAGAAAGCTCGACCGGAAGTCCTTCATGTAGCTCTGTTTTAGTATGAGGTTAACAGCAGGGACTTTTGGCCTTAGGAACGCTGGCTCGGTGCTTCGGATATTGAAGCAGATGAAATTAGACATTTGTTTATAATGAACTTAGTCACCAAGTAATTATTGACGGCCTATTATATTGTAGATGCCTTGCTCAGTATTGGGCTAGGGATATGAATAAATCATGCCCTGTACCCACTGATCTCTTGTATTTTTAGAGCACTATAAGAAACAGTAATTTCTCTTTTTCAAAAAACAAACAAAAAACAAAAACAAAAAAATCCCAAGAACTACCACCAACAATTCAGTTATCAGGTGAGAGACTTCTAATTTTTATAGCCACAAAAATTTGCTATTTGCCTTACTACATCCAAAGATGTAGAAAAATGAGATCAGATACTACTAAACAAGTTGTATTCAGGGATAGGAGAGAAGTGAAGAAAAAAAATCCCTGGGGTGGGGCTGGAGAGGTGGCTCAGTGGTTAGGAGCAGTGACTGCTCTTCCTAGAAGTCCTAAGTTCAATTCCCAGCAACCACATGGTGGCTCACAACCATCTGTAATGAGATCTGATGCCCTCTTCTGTGTGTCTGGAGACAACAACAGTGTACCCACATACATGAAATAACATGAAATAAATAAATAAATCTTTAAAAAAAATGCCTGGGGGTCATTTTTAGACTTTAGGTTTTTGGAGGAATGTTTTGTCTGAGTCATCTGTTGTTTTCAACAATTCTGGTTTTGTCTTTTCCAAAAGATGGGATTAGTGGGTGCAGTGAGGCAGTTGGATGCCTGGGCATTTTATGACAGAGCCCCTTCTACAGAGCAGCGTAAGACTAATGAATGTGCTCAGAGGCGGTTCTCCACCCTATTTTTGCTTTCTCAGCTGGGACTACTAACCTCAGAGGAATGTTGGCATGGTGCCAGGCAATCAGGTCAAGGGACATAGTTTCTGCTAAAGTCAAGTCTGAAAGAAGGGATCTTTTTTCAGGTAAATTGGCACTCATTTATCCTGGGAGGAGAAAACCCTTTCTGATTGTGTTTCCTGAGTTCTGTAGTCAGTGACTGTTGTGATGAGCCTCTGGGCTCTCCACTCAGAGTGCAGAATAGCTTGTTATTTTATTTTTAGTAGTTTCAGCATTCAGTTTAACTCTTCCTGTTTTCTCAACTAGCATGAGAATATTAGTCAGCCCTGAAGTCATCTGCGGTGTAGTGTTCATTTGTTTAATAAGTATCTACTAAGGGCCAATGTGCCTTGTACTGTGTCAAGTAATTCATTCTGAGTACTTATCGGTAAAGAAGACACACAACTTCCTGGTTCCAAAAATTGGACATGAAAATCAAAGACTACACAGAGAGTGACTAAAGTAAGTTCAGAGGAAAGTCAGGGCATGGTGGCACATGCCAGTAGTATCAGCATTCAAAAGGCTGAGACAGGATGATTGCTACAAGTTTGAGGTTAGTCTGAGCTACAAAATGAAGCATTGTCTACAAAACCAAAAACCCTTAATAATAAATATGTTTCAGGAGGGAAATGAGCATGGTGCGATTTAGGGAACATTGAAGGTTGGAGAGCTTTTTAGGGCAGCAGCTTGCTGCCTTCTCCCTTTAGACTGGAGAGGCAGACTTGGCACTAGGGTGGGTATACAGCACTTCCTAGTACAAGCCCTGGGCTTCATCCTCAGTGCTTTCCTCCTTTAAAATCAAATCAAAACAAATGAAAAAGCAGAAGCAAAGCTTTGTTGAGTGGTTTGTAGTTATTGTAGGCATTAAAATATTGTTAACAAGAAAATGAAATGTGATTCTTTATGAAAAAATTTAAAATTCTTTGTTTGAAAATTCAGTTTGAATGAAGGAACCAGAGTAGTTTACCACTTGTTAAGGGCCTGTTGAAGTTGGGCTATGGTGATGCTGTTCTGGTTACTTGAGCCTTGTGCACATATCTCCTTTTCAGGTCAGAGCCTGCATTTTGATCTATGTTCTGCTCACATCCTGCTGCCTGAGAGTACTTGATGATCCCATGACCCTGGACATGGATGCTGTCTTGTCGGATTTTGTTCGTTCCACAGGTGCAGAGCCAGGGCTGGCTCGAGATCTTCTAGAAGGTAAGGGGAGAGTGAGAAAAGAAAAGGCAAGATCTCATATTATTAGGGTGATTTGGAACTTTTGTTTTTGTTTTTTGAGACAGGGTTTCTCTGTGTAGCCCTGGCTGTCCTGGAACTCACTCTGTAGACCAGGCTGGCCTCGAACTCAGAAATCCGCCTGCCTCTGCCTCCTGAATGCTGGGATTAAAGGCATGCGCCACCACCACCCGGCGATTTCGAACATTTTAAGGTGATCAGAAAAACACTTTGAGTGCTGTCTGCCCTCATTTTAGTTGCTTCTATTGCTCTACCTTGTGTGATCCACCATGGTTCTAAAACCGCAGATTCCCTGGCCACCTTGTATGTACTGGGTAGCTTTCTTCACCATGAGTCTATGTTCACGTAAGTCAAGGGGAAGTTAGAGATTAGCCCACTAAAATAATCATAAGGAAAAACACCTGATATTGACCTCTAGCATTTATACACATGCTATACATATATACCACCCACTTGTTCTAGCATCTGTATGCACTTGTATGCACAAACCACACATATATACCACACGCATGCCCAACAACACACTCAAAATTAAGGAAAAAATAAAAATAAAATCATCCTATAAGAGGATGCGTTTCATTGTGTGTGCAGTGTGCCCAGTGTATGCAGGGTACTTGATGCATCATTGTCTCAGCTGCTGTGTTATGTAATTCTAGTGAAATTACATAGAATCTGAACCTTGACCCGTTTTCAGAGTGTGGCTCTTAATGATCGTGTTACAAATACTTCTTGCATGTTGTAAGCACCTATGAAATTAAAAAAAAAGATAAGGGTGTTATGGATTATGAAGAGGGAAATCTAATTTAGCTTTCAGGAAGGACTACCTAGGAGAAATAGCTTACAAGATGACCCTGAGAGGAGAGAGATGTAGTGGAGTGGTGAGCCAGACGGGAAGAGTGGTACGTGAGTGAGTGGTACGTGAGTGAGTGGCGGGAGCTGGGCGTGAACAGGAGGCAGAGGATGAGGGCGTTTGTTCACCATAGTAAGGAAGTTATACCTCAAGTTCACTGGAAGTGGAGTTATTAATAGTATAAGAATAATTTTTAGAGTTTCAGTGTTTAATCTGTTTCAATAGGTTATATTGGAAGGTGGCCATTGGTAAAACCAGGTAAGAGTATTATCATAGTTCAGGTGAGAGGTAATGGTGATTTAGAGCACAGTGTCGGTGGAGGGAGAGGAGCTGACGGAGTTAGATAGTACTTAGTAGTTGGAGAGATGCCTCCACAGTTAAGAGCACTTGCTGCTCTTAAGAGAACCTGGGTTCAGTTCTCGTTACTCACATAGTGACAAAGGTACAATTTAGAAAGGGAATCAAATAACTTGTTATTATTGTTATCATCTCTTTCTTTAGCATGTTAATTTTCTTTAAAAAGTTAACTCTTTCCTAGGCATGGTGTCACATAATCCTAGCACTCAGGAGGCAGAGGCAAGCAGATGTCTGTGAGTTCAAGACAAGTCTGCTCTACACAGTGAAACACTGTGTCAAAAACAAAACAACAAGAAAAAGTTAACTTTGGTTGTAGTACAAAGAATAAATTAGAGAAAAGAGAGATTAGGATCCGAGACTCATTAGAAATCTTATCAGAGAGTCTCCCTCTTAGAAGAGCATAGGAAGGACCCACCTCCGTATGTACCCCCAGGTAAGTGTATGAAGACTTGAATTAGGGCAGAGACAGTAAAAACAGAAAAGAAGGAATGGATTGCAGAGTCACTTAACCCTCTGAGTAACTAGGGTGAGGAGAAGAAAGGGTGGGTTTGAGCAACAGGAAGGAACTGCAGCTGAAGGCTTGGGACCCAGAGAGATTGTGATGCTGTTACTGACTTAGGGGTCACATGAGGAAAGAGAGGGTACAAGTTTTGGAGAGATGAGTAACATTTGGTGCTGGACATGCTAGTGTTAAGAGGTCCTGATGACTTTAAGGAGTTTCCTGACAGTTGAAAATGCAAATCCCAGTTCTCAATACAGGCTGTTTATTAGCACACGAGTCGATTCAGGGAAAAGATTCTCCATTTATTCAGCAAATGTTTATTGAGTTTCTACTAGATGCCAGGTTTTGTTCTTGATGTTTGTACTAAACAAAAGCCCTACCCTAATGTGGTAGGAAAGATGGTCAGTGTCCAGGGGTAAGTGTGTGGTTTATATGTATCATGTTCACGGGGACTGGGGGCTAAGGGAAATGATGAGTGGAGGATTGAGGGGAACATGATTTTAAACTGGGCAGTCATAGGACTTACTAAGAACATGGTATTTGAGCAGATACCTGAAGTTTATAGAGATTCATCTTGTAGGCATGCTGAAGAAAAGTGTCTTATATGCAGTAAGAAGAGTCAGTGCAGAGGTCTGGATGGGGAACAGTCTTGGTGTAGCCTAGCAACAGCAAGGAGCCAGTGGAGGTTAGAATAGAGAGAATCAAGATCGAGAATTGAGAGGGTTAGTCAGCAATTCAGTCAGCAAGCATGAATTGAAGAGTTAGTAGAGCTTACCAGGAGGGTTAGACAAAGATGACAGCAACAGTAGTAATGCATGTGAGGTTCTGCACACAAAGCACTGTTGTATGTGCTTTCAACTCATTTAACCTTCAGAACAGCACGCTGCTGCAAGCACACCATTGCACAACCTTTTCTGGGGGAGTCTATCCATCCCTGATAGAGGGGAGCAGATCATAGAAGTCACCTCACCCAATTCTACCTGAGGAATCAGAGCTTATTGAGGTTACTTCAGCAGCTTGGGTAGCATGCCAAGCATATGGATAACTATGGGCAACTATCCCACCAAAGAGTCTGTCTTCTCAGCAGTTGTTAAATGCTTACATAGTCTTGGGCAGAGGAGGAACCTTATAAACTTCATTAACCTCATTACCATCTCCCTTACCAACAGACAATAATAATAATAATAATAATAGTAGTAGTAGTAATACCCAGAAAGATTGATTTTATTTTATATGTATGTATGAGTACCTAACATGAATATATGTATGTGCAAGCCTAATCTCCAAGGAGGCCAGAAGAAGGTGACAGATGGCGATGATTACATCCAGCCTGGAAGGAACAGTCACACAGCATACTAGTGTTGTTATCTGTATTTTTCATAACTAGATCAATTGCAACACAGAGAAAAAGGCAGAAAATAGGAGAGACTGTAGAAAGCCTTCAGTATTGGGCTAAGGAGCCTTCTGTAGTAATAAAAAACCATTACATAAAGATTTTGAACACAGAACTAAATGTGCTTTAGAAAAATGAATCTCATGAGATTCCTTGAGTAGATTGGAGGTGTGGATACCAAGGCTGTAGCAGCTAGAGTAACAGAAGTGCATCAGCATGTGTTAAATAATTTAAATAGAGAAAGCGACAGGAAAACCTCCACCACATAGAGTCATTTCAGATAGCGAGCTGTCTTTATAGTGGAAGCAGTACAGCCGCTTGTGGAAGCAGTACAGCCGCTTGTCCTGAGTGTGGAGCAGCTCCTCACCGAGGGAGGACATGGACTTTGTAGTCACTGGACTGTCTTACGACATCCTAGAGTCTGCTGAGCCTGCTACAGACTGAGACTTTGAGCAAGTTTTGGTGCTTCTGTAAGCTTTGTTTCCTTTGTCTGTAAAAGGAGTTTCATTTTATGTAACTAGGTCTCTAAAGGGCCCTTTGAGTTTAGAGACCAAGTTTCTACCATTGTGTACCTTACATAGGAAATAGACAATAATAAAAATTGGTATTTCAGATAGAAGAAAATTAAAGTGGAAGGAGAAGAAAGTTAAAATAAAATTGTAGTGTACATGAATATGATCTTACTAGGTTTATTTTTGACATGAGGTGTTTTGGAACTAAGTCTCAGGTAGCTCAGACTGGCTTTAAACTTCTGAATCTCCTGCCTCAGCCTCCTGAGTTTTAGCATTATAAGCTTGTGGTGCCATACCTGGCTTGCTTAATTGTGCTAGGATGTTCAGAATGGTCCTCCTGTGTCTTCCCTAGTTTCTTAATACTCTGAGTCTATTATGTGTTCTTGTTTTTTCTCCTATTAGGAAAGAACTGGGATGTGAGTGCTGCCCTCAGTGATTTTGAACAGTTGCGTCAAGTCCATGCTGGGAACCTGTCCCCACCCTTTAGTGGAGGGAGTACTTGCCCTAAGATCCCTGAAAAAGGGGGTTCGGATAGAGAGCCCACTCGCCCTTCTCGACCCATCCTTCAGAGACAAGATGACATCATTCAAGGTATTGCTCTGAGGAATAAGGTTTTATATGTGGAGTAGGGAACACCTGTGTGCTCCTTTAGGGGCATTTTCATTCCTTACGCTCTTCCCAGCCAAACCCAGCAGTTACTTTGTAACTATCTGTAAATGACCTGAGACAGTCTTGCATTCTTTGCATCATCTCTGGCTAGTACTGGAGGAGGACAGCTGCAGCATTAGAGCTCCTGTCCCCTTGTGATAATCACCCAAGTACTTGAAGCTGTGCAAATACATAATATCACACTGACAAATTTTGCTCATGTTACATGGGCTGGGACATTGCAGGTGCCATGTACTTAAAGCAAAATGATTCAGAGGCACAGTTTACATTCGTGTTTTGCTCTCTGGCATATTAAAATTTGAGTCTCTAAATTTCTGACAAATATGTATATCAATAAAAGTTATAGTAAGTTGTATAGATGCTCTTGATGACACTTGTTATTCTCTTTTCTTTAATGGAAATCCTTTCTACATCCTCTAAGACCCTAGAACAATTCTTTGCCAAAATCCAGCTTAATGAAAGCCCATTTTTCTTCCTTGTTCTTCCCATTAAAAAAAAAAAAATGATCAAGTTGCTAAGTGAGCAGCTCACATTCATGTTGAAAAATGGGAGTCACAGATGAAGTCATAGGAAAAGGAAAGGAAACCCCAGACAAGACTAGAAAGATGAATATGGTTTTGGTAGTACTGTAAGTGTCTATAAAAAAAAAAATGCAATTTTGTATATTTTCCCATTTGTATTTGGCTTAAGAAAAAATACAAAGTTGAGAAGTAGCTGGCTAGATACAATTTTTCCTTGACTGGAAACTGTCAAGCAGTAAGTACCCTACATCTGTGGCGAATTCTCAGAGAGAGTTGCATATGTTCTAAGGTGACTCCGTTTCTCATTGCAGAAAAACGCCTGTCTAGGGGCATCTCCCACGCCAGCTCCAGCATTGTTTCCCTGGCCCGCTCCCATGTCTCCTCCAATGGTGGGGGTGGGGGGAGCAGTGAGCACCCCCTGGAAATGCCCATCTGTGCCTTCCAGCTTCCAGACCTCACTGTGTACAAAGAAGACTTTCGCAGCTTCGTAGAGAGGGACCTCATTGAGCAGTCCATGCTGGTCGCCTTGGAACAGGCAGGTCAGTGGGAGTTTCCTTTTCAGTGATGTCTCCTCTAGTCTCGGCCTACAGCCACATAAAGCCTTCATCAGTGGCCTCTTTTTTTAAGTGTGAGATCTGATTTCTGTCAGATAGGACTCAGGTACATGTACTGAGATAAAGAATAAAGATTAGCCAGGTATTGGGGAAGGGGATAGGAATGAAATTTAGAAACGTTGAAAGGTTCCTGTTTAATAGAAGGGAAACCAGATATATATGTAAAGGGCTTAGTAATTGTTACCTAAAAATCAGTATATGAACAAAAATAATTATTGTAATTGGCTATGGAGCACCTTTGCAAAAACAGGGCCAGGGCTGTAGATGATACACTAAAGTCATATCTATTCATGTGAATCCTCCCTACGTCTGTTTACCTTCTAAGTTGACTCTATTTTAAATTAACACTAACTTAATTTGGGTACGCAAGATAGCTCAGTGGATAAAGACATTTGCCACTAAGACTTGACAGCTTGAGCTTGATCCTTGGGACCCACACTGTGGAAGAGAGAACTGAAGTCCCCAGGTTGTCTTCTGACCTTCACACATTGCTGTGCCATGCACATGTGCCAGTGCTTATAGACTCACACACTAAATAAATGTAATTAAGAAAAATTAGCTAGTGTAAAACAGTATGGCAGCTGGGCATTTTGGGAAGAATTTATATATTAGAAAAAATCCTCATCAGGGTGGTAGGGATTGAAAAAGACCAGGCTTGGTAGTACATGCCTTTATTTAATCTCAGCATTCTGGAGCCAGAAGCAGGCAGTTTGATGCCAGTCTGGCTCTGGTCTACCTGGTCTATATATCACACTTCAGGCCAGCCATGGCTGCATAGTGAGATCTTGTCTCAAAAAAGAAAAAAGAAAAAAAAATCCCCATGGTAGGCTAGAGGGAAAGACTGAGACTTTGTTTCCAGCACTCACATGGCAGCTCACAACTGTCTACAACTCTAGCTCCGGGAGACCCAGTACCCTCTTCTGACCTCTGAGGGCACTAGGCATTCCTGTGGGATGTAGACGTACAAACAGACAAAACACTCGACACATAAATGAATATATAAAAAAAAGTTTAAGTTCCTATGGAGGAAAGGTTGGAGGTTAGAGGTGGGGGCACGGATAAGGAGCTTTTTCATTTTGTATCTAGTGTTAACTAACTGCAACTCTTTTTAGAAGTTACCAACTTATCTGGGTTAGTGAAATCATAAGCTATTTTTTTCCTTTTGTAGACTTTTTAATTGCTCAAGAAAACTTTCAAGTGTCATTTGTAAAATCGTTCTCTCCTGTAATGGATTTGTGAGATTGCTGTTCACAATTGAGTGTAATTATTTGGGTGTTTTATGTACTTTGTCTTTTTTGTTTATAACTTCAAAGTTACAGCACATACCTGCTGAGTGCTGTCACATATGATACAGGATACATACACATAATAAATGATCCAAGATATATACATATATACCTTGCATAGTTTTTTCTTTGTTGATTCAATTAAGCTGAGCCTTGCTGCTATTGAATTTAGTGGTCTCCTGCCAGAGAGATGGAATCAGAACCACACTAAGTAGCTCATAGTTTTAGACTTGGGTATTATTGATATTTGGTACCAAGTAATTCTTTGTTGTACAAGCTTTCTTGACCATTATGTTACACTTAGAAGCATTGCTGGTCTGTATGTACCAGATGCCGGAAGCATGTACCTCCCCACCAACTGTGGGAAAGAAACATATCTTCACACATTGCCTTATGATCCCAGGGGACAGCATTGTCTTACTTAAGACACAATGATCTAACTTGTTATGCTCAGCAGACTCTAACTGTAAGTAAAGATGAAAAGAGGCGTAGAGGCTGGGCTTAATGCTACATTCCTATAGCCTTAGCACCTAGGACATGGAGGCAGGTGTGTCAGGAGTTCAGGGCAAACCTCAGCTGCAAGGGGGTTCAAAGCTCAGTCTCAATTACACAAGACCGTGTTTCAGAATGATGATGATGATGATGATGATGATGATGATGATACAGAGCATGCAGTATCTATTGGGAGGCTGAGGCAGAAGAATCATGAGTTCACAGCCAACCTGGTCTATGTAGCAAGACCCTGTCTCAAGAAAAGGACTAGTAGTTTTATACTGACAGTCCTTCTAATCTCCTTCTCTCCCTTTCTCCCGCTGCCATGTCTGCAGGGCGTTTGAATTGGTGGGTCAGTGTGGACTCCACCTGCCAGAGGCTGCTCCCTTTAGCAACTACCGGGGATGGGAACTGCCTCCTGCATGCAGCTTCTCTTGGTGAGTCTCAGAAATGGCCTCCCTCCCTGTAGAGAGAAAGCAGTTGAGTCAAGTATCATGTGTAGGATTTCATCTTACACTTCATCCCAGGTAGACATGATGGTTCATGCCAAGACTTAAGGGAACGGGAGAACCTTCCCTTAGCTTCCTGTCTTTAGAGATGGGAGAGTGCTCAGTTCCTGTAGGCTCCACTCTGAGCTGAGCTCTGGAATAAGCACAGTAAGCAAGCTTCTGTGGCTATCTATGTGTATAGGGGCAAAATTATACTTAGCTAGTCCTTTAGTATATAAAAATATGTGGTTTTCGTTGGCCTTTGTGACACGTTAAATTATTAAGCCACTCATAACTCCGTGTCTTTGTTTCTAACTTTGGAAGGGTCCCCATTTTCTAGCCATTTCATGATGCTGATGGGTGTGTGATCTCACACCAGTTTTACTAACTGTTGTATTTTGGTTTGTTAGGTTTGTTGAGGAGTGATGGCTTCCTCTTAGAAGTTTGGGGATTAAATTATATCCCCCTCCTTTTTTGAGACCCTGGGTTTCATCCCTAGTGCCTCAAAACAAAGGCTAAATTGGTAAGTGAAAGCGAGTCAAGACAGTGTCCTATGCCTTGCTTTCTCCCCACAGGGATGTGGGGTTTCCATGACAGAGACTTGGTGCTGAGGAAAGCCTTGTATGCGCTGATGGAGAAGGGAGGCGAGAAGGAAGCACTGAAAAGGCGCTGGAGGTGGCAGCAAACACAGCAGAATAAAGAGGTGGGTGAGCTTGGGTGGGCACCTTCTTTCCAAAGTCCCCCACCAATAACCAGAGAGAAGTGTCTCCTGGTGCTGAAGATTGAGTCTTCTGTGTCTTCCTGAAAATTGCATAAAATGCAGGTAATGCCATAGACAAGCACCTTCTGACCAGCTGGAAGGACTAAACCCAACAGGTTGAGGCCTCTGCCCATAACAGTACTTTCCAACACAAGCTTTTTGCAGGTACTCAGAGTTCTTAGTGGAGGGTTTGTTTATTGTTTTTTTTTTCTTTTCTCTTTCCTTCTTTCTTTCTTTCTTTCTTTCTTTCTTTTTTGTTTTTGTTTTTTGTTTTTTTTGTTTTATTGTTTTTTCGAGACAGGGTTTCTCTGTGTAGCCCTGGCTGTACTGGAA